AACTAATAATAGCAACATTCACAAGTAAGAGAAAACTGATGCTCCCTTAGCACCCCCAAACCGTGACCATAACCCTCTGGCCCGCACAGGACTAATGAGGCACTGAACATGATGACACTGATAGTTTCTTCATTGTTCTTGTGACTTTTTGCCATGAAGGTGTAGAGCATTATCTAATTGAAAAACCACATGCAGTCTTTGTATTGAGCAGGCTTCTCAATTACACAAATGAGGAACAGTTAGACAGGAAACAGTCCCCCAGGAGGCTTTGGTTTACAAGCAGTGACATAGTCAGGGACTAACCCTCCTATAGAAGGATTCCAGATTACCTTACTACATTTACCATCACATGAAATGGAACCCAGAGCTGTCTACACTGCTAAAGCAAAATATCCTGTGCATGATCTCCTCTGTTAAATATTCTGTCACTGTTTGCCTCTTCAAAAGGAAGGGGAAGTCAGATGCAGATTTGACATTGGATTGTTTGTAGAAGACTGGAAAATCACAAATGTTGCAAGACAGAAAAGACCGTAGCTTCTTTGACCTTTGGAAATTTCCACTGTTCTTTTCATATCCATGGGCATAAATGACTAAGCAGTTCAGGCACTTATGCAGAAACCCACTAGAAAGTTATACTTTTATCATTAATTTCACTAACAAAATGTTTCTCACCTGCATTTAGATACACATATTCGCTTATCAAACTTTTGATTTAGGACAAATAACACTAAAATTTTACCATGTACCATTTATATCTGATATAAAATATGTAATTATCTTATACCTATTCAACACAATTCAATATTTGTTTTCATTTGCTTGTTGAGCAGTGGTAATTATAGCATATGAATTCTAAGAATTAGAAAAAAACTTAAATCAATAATTTAGAGTTTAAAAATACAAATGCTGCAAACTTAGCAATTAACAAAAAAGCCCGTTGATGGTAGATGATGCCAAATAAAATAATATATCAGAAAGGTCATTAATTGAACAAAGATAGTCATGTACAGCCTCATAAAAAATGACCACTGACAACAAAACATGACAGTCTTTTTCTTGTAATCATTTTGAATTTGCACCTGAAATCTAAATGTGTACTTCTATAGAATTACATCCCCAACTATCTTTCTATATATTATTCTTGAAATACATTTAATTCAAAAGAATTCTGTTTTTATATTGTCTTGAAAGAGAGCATCTATTTTTTGTTCTTGTAAACATGCAAGTCACATTATAAAATACAGTGCCATTGTGGAATATCTTCATCCACATTTCAATTGTTCTTTCCTTCCTCAGTAATCTTTCTTGGTTATGTACAAAGAGTATGACCATCAAAAGGATAATAAATGGCCTCTGCCACTGAGGTGTGTAATACGTGTAGTGGGAATTGATTTGTTGGTTATGAAGGAAGCCATGGAGCACACAGATCGTGCAAAATCACATTGAGGCCAGAAGCTACTCCTCACTTCATGCAGACGGGTCCTCTACCACTCACAGGGTGAGCTGCCAGAGGGTGAGAAGGGTAGGGAGGTCATCCAGTATTCAGCTATTAAATAAAACCTATTTCTCTGAACTTCAGCGACATTTCATATGACATATATATCCACCTTCCAATCCCGGTCCTTATAGAGACCTGAAATCAAACAAGGTTTCTATGATCCATCAGTGTAATTATAATAATAAAAAAGACCAAAATTGCTTCGGGGAAAAAAAAAAGCATGGGATGCAATTTTTTTTTCTTTTTTTTTTTTTTAAAGATGACCGGTAAGGGGATCTCAACCCTTGGCTTGGTGGTGTCAGCACCACACTCTCCCGAGTGAGCCACGGGCCAGCCTTGGAATGCCTTTTTAAACTCTCTTCTATAGTAAACAGGAATCTAGGAATTTGTATCCAATAAAGACCCATTACTCATCAGCTGTGCATAATTGTCCTTATTTAAAAATCACAGCCAACACTTGGCACTAAAATGCCCAGAGTCCCTTCTTCTGACACAACCAAACATCCTCTAGATTTAGCATTTTTAAAAAATTAATGGTTTTTTATTATTATCACTACTTATAAGTAATT